CACCGAATGGTTTTCTCCCATCTTATCTGTCTGACATGGTTAAGACTATACTTGCCTGCTAGGTCCTTTAGGTCCTCCTTACCATGTTTTTTGTGTATGTATCTTCCTGAACATTTGAATACACCTTAACAGTTCAGTTTGCCCAATATCAGTTTGTTTTTTATTATTATTAGTCAATAATTGGTCATTTTTACTAATTCCAGACATGCCAGCTTCACAATGAATACAAATTACAGTTCAAAGTAATTAAATGAGTAGGTGTTTTTGTCATCATGCAAATGGAGCTTCAGTATTCTCAAACCACAGGGTGACAGTGACTGTACTATTATGCTATTATCTCCCTGAGAAGGGATGAACTGGGGGCCAAATGGAGTAATGCTCTTGCAGAGGGACAATACGAGGAGGTCAGGTCAGCCATTTGGTGGGGACAGTAATGGCCGCTTTGTGCCTTGCCCTGACAATGACAGTGATGATTACAGGTAGGCCCTTGAGCCACATGAATTCCTAGAGAAGTCGTGGATGACACTGTCACTTGGCCCAGGTGTTAGGTGGATAGAGCTGACAAACACAAAACAGGGATAAATGAACAGCTCGCCTCTCACTGGGGGTGTAAAAAACATTCTCCCCACAAAAGTTACCTAATGTGTTTTTTTTTCTGCTTGTCTGTTCCCTTTGAAAAAAAAAATATTTTATTGGACATTAGAGAGGTCTGTGGAGGGCTATTGCCTCGAGGTTAAACCATTAAAAGTTAAAACGTAAAACAGGCAAAATTATATGCTTAAAGTTGTAAACCTCAACATTTTCATTACAAACCCATTATGATACTATCACTGGCATTTTTTCAGCAATAGCTATTCAATGTATTTTCATTTTGTAATTGCATCTCTATAAAGTAATTTTTATTGTCTCAGGCAGAGTCTGCCATTCCTGCACAATATTCATATTGCATACCACATAAGAGATTCACAGGATACAGTGCATGCATGTACTTGATGTGGTACAGAAGGCAAAAGCTGGTGCATGGGCACATTTCATGTAATGTGGAAGACAACATTGTTTAAAAAAACAGTTTGAACAACAACAAACAGAAAATTAGTTTGAGCTAATTGGAACAGAATCCTCCACATAATCCTTAAATAATGTTAAATTGTTAAAGCAATACGTTTTTTAATTTAATTTCAGTGTCAAATCTTTATAGGTCAAACATTTTAGTTAATTAACAATTATGAGAAATCAAGTAGCTTGTCTTATGCGTGGTGAAATACCACAGTCATAACACCCCATTTAATCGACTTTTAAAATTTTGATCGTAAGAATGTGCACACCAGATGATTCAGTCAAGACCCTGGACCACACACTTTATACTCACAAAAACTTGTGTGATCAATTGAGACTTGTTATCAGTTAGTTGCACTAGTGTGTGCTATGTTTTCTGCAGATTAAGAGATATTAAAGACATTAAACTGTGGATGAACTATTGGCTGAGAAGAGGAAGTCAGCTTAATTCATTCATTTCATAGCGCATGCAAGTACACAACATACGCTGGAGCCAATCCCAGCTGACATCGGGTGAAAGGCGGGGTACACCATCGAAGTCCCTCTAATAAACTATTTGATCATAAATCCATTGTAGAGCTATAAATGATGATGAAACAGCAACAAAAGTCAACAAATTTATTTAATGTTTTTCCAAAAAAACCTAAATCAAAGAATTGAAAATAGAATAAGTAATTTCCTTAACACGTTGTTTTTTTTTACTTTTAATGGACACATGTAATATGTTTTATACTTTCTGTGAATATAATCGAATTAATCTTATTTCCATACTGTATAGACTCCTTATTTTGAAAACCGGACGTTGTCACATGTGTATCCTTGAGCTAAATTCATCAAGTCCAACCTTGTTTGATAAATAATGTTGTATGTGGTTCTCGTACGGCATAACAATAAGACTTCACAGACTCTTTTCCGGTAGGACTCTCATACTGCAACACTTGTCTTTGTAAAGAGACAAACTGACGCTGAGTCGCTAACCTGCCTGTCAGCTCACTCTGGGCCATTTTCACTTACCATAAAGGCTTGAACACATGTGCACTCCAAATGTAGGCGTGGCTAGCTTAATCGCCTTCTCACAGACGAGTGACAGAAACAGACTGTTAACGTTACCGTAGTTACCTCGAAAAGAAAAGAGGTCGTCTCGAGTCGAATGCCAAAGTGTGCGAGCATGCCAGCTTACAGTAGCGCGGAGCAGCGGCTCAAAACACAGCGTTAGAGTTCTGAAATGTAATTATGAGATGTGTAGAAATATTTTTGTTTCATTTTGAGACTATGGCGGAGCAAATTAGACAATGGCGGGCCGTAAACACTGGCCATAGCCTACCTGCTGCTTCCTTTGCAAAAGCTCATAACCCACCGCCACCCTAGCTCCACCTTTCAGGCTGTATTTGATAGGGATGCGCAATAATTATCGATCCAATAAGTATTGGCCGATCGGGCATATCTCATTATCCGAAGCATATCGGGGAATTAATTTTGCCAAATAGAATCACAACGCTGTGCATGGACAGAGCCACACAGATGCAGTTCAGGCAGCTTGCTCCTGTCCTTCACTATGTGTCTGCATGATTCACTGCAGTTAATAATGTGCAGATTGAAGCATAGCAATCTAAGCTTAACAGTTACTACAGACAGCTTTCATTTAGCTCATTGTTCATCTAGCTTTGCTAGCGTTAGCACGGTGTGCTTTAAATAATATAGAGGATGAGAGATGTGGTCACAGCGGATAAATTAACCCTGTCTACATGTTATGCTTGTTTAACGGATGTATTGACAAAATTTTCTTTTACTCTTGAGATTTTGTTGCACATACTGCAGTGACTTGGAGTTACCTTCACTTTAACGTCTCCTCGCTTGCCACTGTGCGTGGGAGCCCGCGTGTGCCTGTGAGCCCGCATGTGCGTGTTCGTGTGTGGGAGGCAACACAGAGCAGCAGAGGCTGCATTCTGATAATAAACAGTACGATCTTCAGCACCAGGCCGGTTTAACACCATGCTTCAGTGCCCATCTAGTATCTGATTAAACATGTAAATTGCATGCCTGTTCTGTTCTGTATGGGGTTCTTTACTACGGCTCTCCGCCTCGTGGCTTTCCATGTAAGCACATGGATGGGCAGGGAGGTACTCTCCCTACCTTATGGGTTTTCCATGAAGGCATGTGGAAGGGCAGAGAGGTGTGCTCTCCCAGAACAGAGCCATACCGCCAAATATAACTCCGCAATATCAGTCTTTGATGAAAGTTGTCCTAACTGAATTAACGTGAAGGCAGCCAGCACGTCGTAAATGATTACGTTTATCGACCACCACAATTTCAGCAAGCAAACAAACGCTCATTCATCTTTTCATAATGAATGACAGTTGGAGTTAACCTCCCGTAGGTCATAGCTAAAACAAGAAGCAAGCTGACAGTAGATGGCCAATGCTGAGCTAAACATGTTCACTAACCTCAGGTTACTCACTTATTTTGCATTCTGTGTTTGGGCCTTGTTGTATGAAGTTTTAAAGCCAAAGTTTATGAGGAATGGCACAGCAGCTGTCTCTGCCTCACACTACAGGATCATTTGGGCCAATAATCTGTTCTGACCAGATTTATTTTATTATGTATATATACTCTTAACAGAAAAATGTTTTCATGTATTTTCATATATTTCAAAAAAAATAAGTCAAACAAACAAAATTATTTGCTGCTTGCTTTGAATCCACACCTATCTCATTTCAGCAACATTAGTACACAAGACAAACAAAAAAAGAGTGTGTTACATATCTGTGACCTCTAAATAGAGTATGCATGAATCACATGTGGTTATGAGTCCATCCCTGCACTTGTTGGTACTGCACAGTGGTATCTGGCAGCACCATTGTTGTCCTTGATGGCATGATGTGAAGCATTGTGTGGAAAATTGCCTGTACTGCGGAGGGGCATGTATTGTCATGACGCATGCTTCTACAAAAGATTGAAAATGGGATTCAGCATTGTTGACAGTGTACGGAGTGGTGTATACAGTGGTGTGTACTGTGTGTGAGTTTTAGAAATTTATCTGACAGATATCGGAATCCTGCAGCGGAAAATGTCTCGCATTAAATTTCATCTTTTTGTTCCTCCAGAGTTCAGCAGGATTCTTGTGGAAATCCATGCCCTACCTTCCTGGTAAACACATTCAGGCATGATTTTATTTCTATAAAGCTTTGTTTCTTTATTTTGATACATCTGTATGACTTTCCATACTTTGATGTGTCACATTGTATACTGCTTAATTCAGACTCCTCAAATCAAAGTTATTCTTGAGAGGGGAAACACTTTAAATTGTTTTTAATCCAACAACAGGAGCAATTATGTAAATCCCAAAAAAATACCATAACCCATAACACTTTTTCTTTGCTGGTTAGTGTAACCACGTTTTCTTTATTCATGCAGGGGAATAAACGATCAGTTTTACTTTTCATTCATATGCATAATTCTTTTTTTTCTTCTGATTTTCTTCTACTTATTCTCATTAACTCACTGAAGTGAATACTATTCTATTCTGAAAATATAAAGCTGCTTTCTTTGTACCACTTTTGGCTGTCACCAAAATCATTAACATGTGAAGTACTAATAAGTTATTCAGTTACTTTAACTAGAACATCAAAATCTCTATAGCTGATGAAGTTTTTAAAGTAATGAGTGTCTTAATAATAATTTCTAATCATCAACTGTGCAGTTACACATGTTAACATGTTTTTAGTAATAAGAATCATGGGTTTCTCATATTAAAAAAGTACTCCTACAATATAGTATTGTCCTTCCAGATAGCCTCTCTATTGTTTCAATTTTCAAATACACTGGGTCATACATTTCCCATAATGCAGATTGATAGAGTCTTTCTTTGGGCCCCTTACCATCTGGTAAATGCCCACATCTCTCAAACTTTAGACTTTTTGTAACGCGGGCTGTTAGAAATTTTTCCCCCTCAGGCTTGAAAAAGATCCTCCAGAGCCACAGGTGAAATTGTACAATGTTTTCAAAGGCTGAGTAGTACTCCTCAAGACAAGAGAACCTGGTCAACAATTAAGTCAACAATCAAAGTTAATTATAAATGTGAACAGGATACACACCTACCAGAAAGGCTCTATCTAAAAGTCTTGCCTAGTGTAGCGTAAGAAATATAACAGGTCAGTCAGGTTTAATTTGGACAACGGGAAAATACGAGAGCCAAATGATGTAATGGTCCTGCAGTGTCTGCAGCAAGGCCAGTACAGACATGTGAAGCTGCAGAGGCAACACCTATCTCATCCCGCTCACTCCCACAAGATTCCCGACTCTATTACACTACAATAACCTATACACAAGTACATAAATATACATGCATATGCAGTCTGCATACTGAACTATTTTCAATTGATTTCATGATTACGAGCTCAACCTTTGCAGTATAAACAAAAATATTATAATTTTCTACAGTGTTAAGTTTTTATTTTTATTAGGAAATTTTTCATTTTGCAAAAGGCTCATACACATAACAGAGGGAAAAGTCTCCAGGAGATCACATCTCTACACTGCTAATACAGACCTTCACCAGACTATATAGATGAAGTTTGAACAGTTCTAGACAAAAGCTTTATTTAATGCATTATTCTCTCTACATGCAAGATGAGTGTCTGATATGGCTATCCATGGTATACACTGAGAGTCCTTGAGTGTTGCTTGGTAACGCATATTGGAAAAGCATTCAGTCTTTATCAAATGAAACAGATGACTGATATCAACAAAACAAATTGTCTTGTTGATTAAACAGTGAAACCAAGCTTTCAATAGAACCCTTTTAAGTAATGACTTATCCTATGTTTGCCAGGTGTAAAATTCTTCATTCAACAAGAATAGCAAACAGATGTTCACTTGTATGAAGAACCAGCACTGCAGTCTAATTGAAATCAGCTTTGTTTAAATGCACTTTAATGCTGCATTGCTAGCGGCTGAGAAAACATTATATTAAACTGGTGAAAAGAAACAACTGCTAATGGAAACAAATTTGTACTGTTGACTCAGTGTGCGCATATTGATTTGCATGCACCCTCTGGTCTCTTTCATTCCTCCTTGGATTTTCATTAGAGCTAGCGGAAGGCAGCTGAGGCTTCTCCTGCATCACATCTGTGGCTTACTAGTTGGTGGTTTTCAGCGGCCTGAGGCACTGATTTAGCCACACAGGTTCAGAGACACATAGACGGACCACAGGCCAAGATCATCCCTAGTGTATGGTGTGAAAGGTAAGGGAAAGAGGGTAAGGAGAGTGTGTGTGTGTGCAGGATATTCAGAAAGGTATAGTGTTTCCTTCCAGTCGGAATAGCTCTGCACTGCAGGGAGTTCTGATAGCCTGTCCAACATTAGTGACCTCATCCCCACTTCAAAGTAAGGAAACGGCTTGGAACAGCTCAGGGAAAAAAAGCCTATGCCTGAGTTTAAAAAAGGAACTCATAAAGGGACTCAAGTTGGATAAACAACCCTCTACTTGTGAAGGTATGTGGTGGCCAAGGGTACACGCTGTTCTTTTCTGTTCTCGTCTTTCCCAGCAGAGAACTCTCCTTCCACAGAGTCTGTGGGGAAAACATGGATAATGAAAGCAACATAAAGACAGATAATAGTGTAATTCCCTGTGTGGCTCCCTGGGTGTACAGTAATTGTTGTAGCATCGTAATGGAGCACACGTGCGTCTTCGGAGGGGGACATTTTGGACCTTAATGCCGTCATTATCTCCCGCTGAAGTTACCTTGTGTTTCTCCTCGGGGTCGACTTGTGTTGTATCAGTCTCATGTCAGAGGCATATTGGGGGTTCTTCCTACGTAGAAGTCGCTCTGCTGGTGTATCCTTTGGTGGCTTTGCTGGGGACACATAGGAAATACACAATGGGTGGCTCAGTCAGGTATGAATCAGCCAAAGCTATTTTGGACATCTACTATATGTGTTAAATGTTGAAAACAGCCCTCCTGGCTTAACCCAAAGCTGTTTGCCCAGTTTAGTCTAGAAGAGTTAAAAAAAAAATAAAATAAAATTAAATGACAAAAATTGATACTATGACTGGTTTTGGCCTGTTTATCTAATGGTTTTAAAGACATGACAAAGCTATTTATATAGATGTTCAAGCGATATATGGACCACATTATTAGTCTTAGTTCTGTCAAAACATCTACTGATAGTGTTAAACTAGGTAGTAATGTCTTTATTATGTTAGTTTAGTGTGTTAGAATGCTAACATGTTCTAATTACCACTAAAGAAGTAAAGCTGGTGCAAATGAAATTGTCAGTTTTGCAGGTATTTGTTCATAAACTTAAAGTATTGGCTTCATAGATTAATTCATTGCACTAGAGGAAATGTCACAAGATCACCAAAGTCATTAGGCTTTATCCTAATGGATGTCAGTAGGCCTACAAACCTTCATGGCAATTCATGTTGATATTTAAGACTGGACCAACGCTGCCCACTAGGGATTAACCAATATTTGGTCTGGCAGATTTTCGCGGCCGATATTCATCATTTTTCAAATAATCTGCATTGGCCATTTTAAAAACATATAGCCAATATAATTAATTAATTAAAAAATATGCTTCTTTGGCTCTGATGCAGCCACCTCTCTCTGTCTTCTCGAACCCACAGAGTGGTGAGTGCAATGTCCTGCCCACAGTACTAGCTGATTGGTTATAAGTCATGAGTAATAGCCTATCAACACTGACTATTGTGCGGAAGTAGCCAATTGAACGAGTGAGCCATCATGCTGCATCCCCTCCCGTCCTCTCTCAGCAGAACTACGCATTCACACATGTGGAGTGAAGTGAGCGGAGATCAGTGTACTCCGCTCATTACTGTAAGTAAGTACAGCAAAAACAGCAGTACTAGTAAAAGGCTGATACTGCACCAGTACAATAAGCAGGAATGTGTACAAAGTGATATTTTAATCTGCTCAGCTGTTCTCATCCTGTGTTTTGGTTTTACACAAGCACATGTGCTAGCTTGTCTAATAGCTAGTTTGTCATAAACAAGATAAAACGGAATCTCTGTCTGTACCCTTTTAAACTGAGACGCTACGTACTAGAGACCAGCACGGGACTGTTATCTTTTTTTTTTTTAATAGCTTTTATTCAGTCCAAGAGACAGACATAAAGTGCATACAGGAATACAATATCTTTTCTTTTTTATGAACTTAAATGAACAACACCCTGCCTCCCTCTCCCTTCCCTCCCTCCCGTCCTCCCCAGACCCATGATCCACAAAAATAAAAAAATAAAAATCTGACGCTGGCGGACCGGATCAGAGGGAATAGTACATATATAACCATACAGTGGGACTCTATAAAGAGATTTCCTGAGCTGGCAGCTTATCTAGGTAGTTAAGTAGTGGTCTCCACTGAGTATAGAACCTGCCAGATGACCCCCTAAGTGAGAATTTGATCTTCTCCAGTTTCAGAAGACCTAAAATGTCATGTAGCCAGACTTTGATTAATGGTGGTTGAGGAGACTTCCACAATAACAAAATTCTCTTGCGTGCAATAAGAGAGGCAAAGGCGAGTGGTTGTGGTACAGAGGCCGTCTGGGGGCTTGTCGAAAATAGCGATATGTGGGGTTGGAGTTAAAGTTATGCCTACTATATCTGAAATTGTTTTAAAGAATAGTCGCCAGAATTCAGAAAACATGTGGGTAAGATTGCATGGAGCCTGCGTGCATCTACTACAATTCTCATCAAATTTGTCTGGATAGAGCTTTGACAGTTTGTCCTTACTATAGTGTAATCTGTGGAAGACTTTAAATTGTATTAGTGACAGTCTAGCGCAGCTGGATGACGAGTTAACAACTCCCATGGCTCCCTCCCAGAAGTTCTCAGAGAGATTCAATTGGAGTTCTGACTCCCAGTTCGTCTTGATCTTCTGTAAAATAGATTCACTGGCTGAGGACAATAAATTATAAAAAAAAGGAGATATAGCCCTTTGACAGGGTTTTAGCCTTAAGAGCCAGGTCCATCCTGCTGGGTGTTGGTATCTGTGGGGATGACGTGGCGTGTGTTTTCGCAAAGTCCCGCAACTGGAAGTACCGAAAAAAGTCTGATTTATGTAGATTGAAGGTAGAAATTAATTGGTTGCAACTTGCAAATATACCATCAATGTACAGGTCTCTCAAGCTACGCATCCCTTTGTTTTCTAAAACTGAGAATCATGAGTCAGTCTTTGCTAGAATGAAGAGGTGATTGTTGCAAATAGGAGTTGCTAGAGGCGGGGGTGAGCCATCTGAAGTGGTGTCTTATTTGCGTCCAAATTTTTAGAGTCCCAACAACAACCGGATTAGAGGTAAAGTTTGACGGGGAGAAGGGCAAGGTGCTACATGTTAAAGCTAACAGCGACGAGGAGCAGGAGGCTGACTCACTCTGGCACCAACTGGATTGACGGGAAGTAAACCAAGATATCATCTTATGCACGTTGGCTGCCCAGTAGTAGCCAATTAGATTGGGTAGACCCAGTCCCCCAACCGATCTATCCCTACAAAGCAGTGTACGACTTGCCCTTGGCCGTTTACCGGCCCAGATGAATGATGAAATAATGTCATTTATAGCTGTGAAAAAGGACTTGGGAAGGAAGATGGGCAAACATTGAAAAACATACAAGTATCTTGGTAACACATTCATTTTTATAATTTGTATCCTACCGGCCAAGGACAACGGAAGGTAATTCCATCTTTGTAAATCGGACTTGACCGTCGTTGTTAATGAGGTAAGATTTTGCTCTTGCATTGTTCGCAAGGATCGTGTAACTGTAATGCCAAGATATTTAAATTTTGTGTTGGCTTAAAGGGTATAGTTGATGGCGATATGGCTACAGCTAATTGGTTAATTGGGAAGTATTCGCTTTAGAGATATGTAGCTTATATCCCGACAGACGACTGAAAGAGTTCAACAAAGTCAGGATACGTGGGATGCTTGCCAAAGGGTCACTTACATAGAGAAGCAGATCATCTGCATATAATTAAACTTGATGTCTTATGCCCCATCTTTCAATCCCCCAATTCCCTGCTCCATTTTTAGAGCAGCTGATAATGGTTCAATTGCAAATAATAACGGGGATAGCGGGCACCCCTGTCGTGTTACCCAAAAGAGTGGAAACGGAGTAGAACGTGGGTTGTTTGTGCACACTGAGGCGCACGGAGAGGAGTAGAGTAATCTGACCCATGAAATTAGGTTAGTATTAAAACCAAACTGTCTCAGGGAAAAGAGGAGATAGGCCCACTCTACCCTGTCGAAGGCTTTCTCGGCATTAAGAGATATTATTACCACGGACTTTAGAGGAAGATGGAGAAAGGATGACACCGAGAAGTCTTCTTATGTTGGAGTATGAGTGTCTTCCCCCTATAAACATATAAACATTTCAAGTAACAGTGGAGCTGACTGATCCGAGAATTTTTTATAGTACTCGAGCGGGTATCCATCGGGGCCTGGGGATTTGCCACTGTTCATTGACTGTATCGCTTCTTTAATTTCTGAGAGTGAGAGCGGCGTCTAGTCTCAGATTGTCCTCGTGTGACACTTTAGGTAAGTCCAATTTTTCAAAAGAATTATTTAGTTGGTTTTCATCTGTAAGGGACTCTGATGCATATAGTTGGGAAAAGAAAGATCTGAACGTGTCATTTATTCTGTCCGGGTTGAAGGTTATTAAGTCTGACTCATCGGTTATCTGAGTAATTTGATTTGATGCTGTTTTTGCCTTCAGCTGATCAGCCAAAAGGCGTTCAGCTTTGTCACCATGTTCGTACACCAGCCCCCGAGAGCGAAGGAGAAGCTGTTCAGCCTCAGAAGTGAGAAGGAGATCAAGTCCCGTTTGGAGTCATTCTTTCTTTATATAAATCTGGTGAATTTGCGGACGAGAGTCAGTTATCTAGATTTGCAATAGCTTCCTCCAGCTCTTTCTGCCGAGATCTGTGCAATTTATTTGTATGTGACGTGAAAGAGATAATTTTACCCCTTACGTAGGCTTTGAGAGTGTCCCATAATGTGGACGGGGAGGTTTCATCATTCTTATTAGTTTCACAGAAGAAACTGATCGATTCAGAAATATGTTTGCAACAGTTGGCATCTGACAGCGAGAGAGGGTCTAGCCTCCAATGTCTAAATCTCTTTGGCTTCACACTAAAGTGAAGGTCCAAGACCACCGTGGCATGATCCGACACTGTAATGGTTAAGTACTGGGTGGAGACGATCGCTGGAATAAGCTTTTTATCTATCAAGAAACAGTCTATGCGCAAGAATGAACGACGTGCATGGAAGAAAAAAGAGTATTGTCTTACAGAAGGATGTGAAAAACGCCATGGGTCCGCCTATCCATATTGACTCATAAACGTGTAAAAAGCCTGGGACATTTTCATGGCTGTGGTTGATCGTAGACTAGACCTGTCTAGTGTTGCATCAATCACACAGTTCATGTCTCCTCCCATTATCAGAAGATGAGAATCTAAATTTGGAATGGTAGCAAACAATGAGCTCACAAAGTTACTGTTGTCCCAATTGGGAGCATAGATGGATACCGGGATTACCTGCTTTTCATATAACGTACTGGTAACAATAACATAGCGACCGTTTGAATCTGTCATTACTTTATCTGAGGTGAAATGGACATTTTTTTAGATTAATATAGCTGTGCCCCTTGTTTTTACATTGAATTGTGAATGAAAAGTTTGGCCAATCCAAGCTCTATTTAATTTTCTATGGTCAGAGTTGCATAAATGCGTCTCCTGAAGAAACATTATGTCCGCATTTAGGTTTTTGATATGTGTCATAACTTTTGTGCGTTTGATTGCAGCGTTTAGCCTACCAGTGTTTAGTGAGCTAATTCTCACAGCCCGTCCGCCAGCTGCACCCTCCTTGGTTACACTAGCCATGGTTCAGCGTCTCGTGGTAAGATTGTCAGGTCAGTCTCAAGGAGTAAGCAGCGAACAGCGAGTAGGATCTTCTGTACAGAAACAGCCCAATGTAAAATGAATACTCACATAGCACAGAACACAAAATAAACAAAGTCAAGTGAATTCATCCTTCCTCATCCCTTCTCCCCTGTCCCATTCTTCAACACTAAACCCAAGCGGTCATACTTCTCTTTCTGCGTCGTCTTTCCTCTTTCCTTTATTTGTCCTGCAGCTTTAAAGAGCTAGTTGGGACCCCTAAAGTAATGAATGTGAACCTTAAACACATTTTCATAACTAATACAAGCTATTATTTCTTTAATTAACTTCAAATTAGAATTAAGTGGAGTGTAACACACAACACCAGCTTCTGAACCAGATACAGGGCTAGTCCAGGATAGCAGTTAAATGGTAAACATCAAACTTAGGCCCAACAGAGTCCAACCAGTCCTTAAATCTTTTTGAGATAAACACAATAACTCACTTAGTATATCGTCCTTGTAAAAATGATGGGCGCTAAGTCTCAGCAGGTTCTCGTCTTAATTTTAATTTTAAGACCAATAGCCAGCTAGGTTACCATGGTCTACATTAGCTGCGGGTAAAATAGCAGTCAAGCTAGTCGGGCATGTGGGCTTGTTGATATTTGGCTGCGAAGGTGTTGGCTTCCTCGGGAGATGAGAATCTCTTCTTCGCTCCACTCTCCAGAGTAATCTGTAAACGGGCCAGGAAGAGAAGCGCTGGCTGAAGAGCGAGGTTGTAAAGATCGTCCATCACCGCTCAATATTTTGCTCGTTCCCCGGCGACTTCTGGAGTGTAGTCCTCAGAGATCTGGATTGGTGTCCCTTGGTACTGAAGTTTCCCACATCTCTTACAAGCCTCCTGAATGATCAGCTCCTTTGTCTAATAGCGATGAAGGCGAAGTATAACCGGTAAGCCGGGTTGTGGTTTAGCGGTGAGCGTTCTGTGCGCTCGGTCCAATTCAGGAGGGGACTGAAGGATCTGGTCGCCCAGTACTTCAGCCAAGAGTTCGGCGAAAAAGCTTGTGGGCCTGGTTCCCTCGATTGACTCTGGGAGGCCGACTATTCTAATATTATTTCTGCGGCTGCGGCTCTCCAGATTGATAGTCTTCGCTGTTAGCTAAGTGTTGTTATGTGCTAACGAGAAACACCTCTCCTCCAGTGCTTGAATTCGTTGGGCTTGCAGCTCAGCATGGGATTCCAAGGAGTCCATTCGCTGACCATGTTCTGTTAGCGTTGTTTGCATTTTGTCGAGTCTCAATTCCAGAGCAGCGAATGTTGCTTTGAAGTCGGCTGCTATACTAGCCTGTAGGAGAGGCGTCTGCTTCAGTCTTTTTAGACGCTTTTGATGCTTTTGACATTTCTCTAAGGTGTTCAAAGTTCTAATGTTAATTCTTCCACTCTCAGTTGGTTGGGGTTTTGAGGAGAAAGTAAGTTTTTGAAGTTACCGCTGCAGGAGCCTGAGACAACGCTGCTTTCACATGCTCACCAAAAGCGGAAGTTCTCGCGGGACTGTTTTCTTGATCCTTAACCCTAAAAAACAGCAAGGATTTACCTCACCAGTGCGGAAGGTCCACAGCGTGCTACTCCTCCTGCTGCTACTATCCGAGGACATACAATTCAACCCGGGGCCGGTGGTCATCACAGGTCAGTGGTGCCAAACACTCTTCGGCGGCGACTGTGACGAATACGCCCAAGGTGGTGAGTTTTTGTGGAATACCCGTACCGAGTATCCCCCTAACTGGAGTAGATGCTTCGGCCCTGGTTTCTGACAAGCTAGCCAGTACAATGGCGGTGCTAACGGGGAATTGTCAGCTTGAAAATTCTGCTCCTAATAATATTGGATACATCAATCCTGCTGTTAAAAAACATATTGCTCATAAAAGTTTTCAAACAGTTAATCATGCAAAGGTCGTTTGGGACCCGAAGCGGAAACCAAGAGGGCTTTTGGGTGGTCACCTAAACATCCGAAGTATCATCTCTAAAACCAATCAGTTGACTCATTTATTAGCGAATTCAAATCTGGACTTTTTGTGTATATCTGAAACATGGCTTCAAAAATCTACTCCTATTAATGTATTTACAATGAACGGTTTTCAATGCTTTAGGCGAGACAGGACTGTGGGAAAAGGGGGCGGGGTACTTATGTATGTAAAAGACTCTATCAAATGCGAACGTATGTTTTTTATGTCAGCTATCTCCCTTGAGTATGTTGCACTGAAAGTCATCTTGTCTCAGCAAATGTCATTCATTATTATAGGCCTCTATAGACCCCCAACTGCCAATGATACATTTTATACAGAACTCATTGACAGTCTTAAAGAATGTGACCAGAATAAAGAAATTATTCTCATGGGGGATTTTAACCTTAACTGGGAAGACAAGTTAAAGAGGAGAAAGTTAAAAGTAATTACAGATCAATTCCATTTAGAACAGCTGGTAAAGGGCTCAACTAGAATCACAAAACGCTCCAGTACACAACTCGATCTTTTTTTTTGCAATAAACCAGAAAGGATAACAAAAATTTATAATTTTATCACTGGCTTATCTGACCACAACTTAACTCTGGTGGCAAGGAAATTAACTAAAAATAGATTTAAGAATAACACATCATCCTGCCGCAATAATGCTCTCTTTATATCAAAATGTAAGCAGGACACATTTGATACTGAGATACATAATTTGGACTGGGGAGATGTATTATCTTCTGAAAACCTGGAGAATAGTTGCCAGTTATTTACATCAAAAATTAATGTTGTCAGAGATAAATTCAATTTCAGTTAAAACTAAGAGAAAAAATAGAAACAAGGTCAACTTGCCTTGGTTCAGTGAAAATTTATGGAAACTGATGAAGAGTAGAGATGCTGCCTTAAAAAAGTCCATCAAGACTAAAAGAGATACAGACATATTGGTTTACAAAGGCTTGAGAAACAAAGTGGTTAATGAATTGAGATTGGCCAAGTCACAATTTTTTCTCAAACTTTTGAAGGATGCTAACGGTAATAGTAGCCAAATATGGAAAAGTATTAATAATTTAATAGGGAGAGCTTACCATTATACAGAGGATATCTGGCTCACAGTTCGAAACAAGATAATAGATGATGACATAAAAATTGCCTCTGCTTTTAATTATTTTTTTATTGATTCTGTTCAGGAATTAGGAAACCATTTTAAACTTGGGGAACAATGTAATAGTTTTGGTATTGCAAGTGAGGGTTTTAACTTAGTCGCAGTAAGTGAAGAGGAAATAAATAAAGTGATTTGTTCCCTAAGAAATTCAAAAAGCAAAGATGCTTTTCATCAGGACACAATGTTTATTAAAAAACATTCAGCTACTCTAATCCCCCCCATTGCTCATTTAGTAAACCTCTCAATTCCTCATAGTTTATTTCCTATTGACTGGAACCATGCGATTGTAATTCCTATCTTTAAAGCTGGCGACCGCCATGTAGTCAGCAATTACAGACCCATTAGCTTGTTACCAGTAATTTCCAAGGTTGCTGAAAAAGTGGTCATAAACCAACTAACAGATCACATTAACAGTTGCAACCCTGGCCTAAATTCAGTCCAGTTTGGATTTAGAAAACTTCACTCCACAGAAACAGCAGTTCTATACTTAACAGAGCAAATTATATCTGTTCTTGATAAAGGAGGAGTTGTGGGAGCTGTGTTTCTGGACTTAAGTAAGGCCTTTGACACAGTTAATCACAATGTCCTCATGTCTCAACTCATTAGCTTCAATCTTTCGTCCAAAACACTTGCATGGATTTCGTCTTACCTATCCAATAGAAGGCAGTGTGTAAAAATCAATGACACGAGCTCCAGCTCCTTGGGGTACACAACGGGTGTGCCTCAGGGATCTGTGTTAGGCCCACTACTCTTTAGCTTATACATTAATAACCTACCTCAGCATTGTCATGATGTAGAGGTACAACTCTATGCTGACGATACAGTTTTGTACACCCATGCAACATCAGCTCAACAAGCTGCTACTAAATTAACCAACGCCTTGGTTGGAGTGGCCGAGTGGTTAGACCAATCCTGCCTAACCTTGAATATAGGTAAGACGAAAGGCATGTTCTTTTCCAAAGCTAAACTAAACACCCTAGACATAAACATCTGCTTTAAAGCTGAACAGATTGAGACTGTTACTGAAATTAAATATCTTGGAGTGCTGCTTGATCCAAACCTGACTTTCAAAAAACACATAAAGACTATGACAAAAATTATTAAATACAATTTGAAAAATTATAGACAGATTAGATCCTCTCTATCAATAGAGGCTGCTAAGATATTCTTACATGCCCTTATTTTTTCACACATCGCATATTGTATTACCTGCTGGGAGCAGGCTACCCAAACAACAATTAGGCCCTTAGAATCCCTGTACAAACAGGGCTTGAAAATTCTAGACAAAAAGCCACTCAGGTACCATCACTGTGACGTACTACATAAGTACAATCTACTAACTTTTGAAAATTTTAGAATATTCTCAAATGTATGCACAGTTTATAAAATCTTAAAAGGTCTGGCCCCCACCTGTTTGTGTGAGTTTGTCTGTTATCGTGGTTCTGTGAGGACAACTAGAATAGTTTCCGTATATAGCTGCACTGTACCCTTTCGCTATTCAGCATTTGGGCAGGCAGCCTTTTCTATCAAAGCTGTGAAACAATGGAACACAATTTCAGATGATATAAAAACTTGTGACTTGTTTGGGGCCTTTAAAGATAACTTAAAAAAACATCTAAAAAACTTTCACAACAATCCACCCACTATTTTGTCAGTGGGTAATATAATTTTTTCCTTCACTCACATTTACCTTCTTATTGTAGGGTTGACGTATGGGTTGAGAAGGGGTTGGGTGTTGGGCGTACCATTGTATGTTGTGATTGTGGTGTGTGTGTGTGTGTGTGTGTGTGTGTGTATGCGCCAGTGAAGGGCATTAAGTACATGGTATATGCTCTTGAACAATCTCTGATGTTTTATGTTTGATATGCCGTGTATTTTTGAATAATGTCGATATTTATATTGTATGTATTTGTATTTATTTGTATTTGGGGACTGCAGATGTAAATTAGCCTAAGGCTAACTCTGGTGTAATGCATCAAATGTTTACATTTATGTTATTAATTGCACATGGTCCCTTCTAAATAAAAATCAATCAATCAATCCGCCTTCCGTACTCAAGGTCGCCGGATTGAGTCAAGCCCGTGAAGGACGTTCTTCGGAGCAGTCGCATGCGCTGTTTTTAATCTTCTTTTCAATTTTGTTTGTTGACTCCATCTTATCAGCTCTACTGCGGGACCAGCAGTGTATTTCTTAACCGCCTGCAGCACAGTTAAAACCACCCGCTCCCGCGCAATTTGTGTTGGGTCCCGCGGGATCAATATCCCAATGCAGCTCTCCACTACGTACCTTCAAAGTTAGCAAATCCTTGTAAACTTAGCTGCTCGAGATAAACCAGCTCCTCTCTACCAGCAGCAGCAGAGGGAGGAGGAGGAACGACTGACTGACTGATGCCTTCTTTCTAAACTTTACTCAGTAGTTTGATGTCAGGACTATAACGTTAGTTTATTTTACATGTTCCTGATTTTATGCAGTGACAGTGCTGCTGTAAACTTTACTTTTGTTGCTGCTCTGAAAACAGTTAGTTATAACAAAATGTTAAATTTGATTACTGTTCTGAATTTATTCTTTTTAAATTTAAAAGGCAATTATTTAGCAATGAAAAACCAATAAGAGTATAGATAAAGAACAGAACAAATAAATAGTATCAATGAATGTATCGATAAATTTCTAACAATATAAAATAAATGCAATATTAATGGCAGCAGGTAAAGACAAGGTTTATGACCATTTATCACTCAGCTTGACAAGTCCATCTCTGGGATGGATCTCTAATTCATTTAATTTAATATTTATAAAGATTTAACATGACAATTCATTTTAATCTTGTTACTTTTCACAAAGTTTTATGTTTACTGCACACTAACCGGCTGAGCCATGCTGTGAGAGTGGTTAAAATGTACTGAAATGTACTGTTTATCTTTTTTTAAGTATGCTTTTCATTTTTCATTTCCTTTTTTTAACATGTTTTAGATTAACATGTTTTGAGTTTTTGTCACCAGGGTTCCCATCATGCTGTGGGCGATGTCATAATGTTGGAATGGAGTGAATGAATTTAGCTGTGGGTCACACACGCGTCCATGCATTTTAATGTAAAATTGAACAATATTAGTCCAAATTTGGCATGTGGCATGGCCTAAAGTTATAAGAATCCTATTTTCTCTATTGTCACTAACAAATCTATTCTGTAGACAATCAAGAGAAACTGGAAGTCCATTCAAGTGATTTCAGCAGTACTGTATGTGGATGATATATGCTCTATTCTGACTGTTGCTAAGCTGGTCTGCAACATGTAGCCTACAGCTGAAACGAAGCTGTTTACTGGCTTCTCACTGACCCGCCCTTCTCTGCTTCTGATTGGCTAGTTGTCCTTAACTAGGAACTGCAATGTGGAAATCCCAACAAAGATCATTTAGAGATAAGATGTATCATTCCATAGATAAAACAAAGCCTTTAACACAGGGGGAAAAGAGGAGCTGCAGCAATGTGCAGTATGACAAAAATATGGGTTTTTTTGAAAATGAATCCAATGTGAACCTCTTCTGGTACAACCCCTAAATAGGATTTTGAACCTGAAAATGAGCATAATACCACATCTAGAGAACATTTGTTAAGACTATATGGGAGAATTAAGTGTAAGATTAACAATCTTAAAAAAAAATCTAAATCTGTTAAGAGTTACAATTACTGCCTTAAAGACTTTATCCTGTTGTAATGGCTAAGTGCTGTGACCAATTTACTGAGGATTGGACCTAATTGCAAAACACTACAGCAGCTGATACTGACAAGAGGATTTATTTAACTGAAACAACAGAAGTGGCTTACATGTGCAGTTGTAGCAAGAGTCCGGCAGTTGGCACATCCAAAATAATAAACTTAAGTTCCAACAACAAAAGCAAAGTCAAAACTCAGGAAAATTCGGTAAGGGGTAAACTGAAATACAAGATGAAATGAAGATACATCCAAATCTTCAAAGGCAGGGAACAACATGGAGAACACTCTGAGATGTTCAAAATTTAACAAAGACGACACCACAAAGGCTGAACAAAACCAAAGGCATTAAATACAAAACACACAGCAGCAGGGAGGAAGTGAACAGGTGAGACACATCAGGTAATCAACAGGAAGAACAACAGGCAACAAAGCTACACAATGAACACCTGACACAGACAAAATAAACCAGGAACTAAAACTCACGAAAACCAAAAAAACAAATTAACAAAATAAAGTAAAGTACATGGAACTAATGAACACAAAGACAGGAGTAATAAACAGTAACACACGCCGGGCATAAACAAGAATAACACAGGAAAAAAGATAAGCCAAAACCAATACCACAACATACAGGCATTGTTTTTTAGTTGTGCCTATTCCCAAACAAATTTGCATTTTGTCAAGGTAACACAAACCAAATTATACACAGTCAAACTGGGTCCTTTGGGGCACTTCAAGGTCTGTGGCCCCAGACCAATTGCCCCCTTTCCCTGATTGGTGAAACAGGCCCGTCAAAATTAAACGAACGAGGGACCTATTTATCTCCACTTCTATTAGAATCCTTAATTTGCACATGAAATAATGAAACATCTTCTGTCTGTACAAGCACGTTGTGTTTTACACTAATGAGTAACATTTTTGTATTCTGTCAAGCTGTTGACTCCACTCTTGTCCACTCTTATTAACTAGGGTGGATGTTGTGGCACTTTGTTATGCATACAATTATACTTTCATCTGGTTTTATTGTTCTGCTGAAGTTTTATAGTTTAATTATGATTTTACTTCAAATCTCATTTGCAAACAAACCTTCCGTACAAGACAGTAGAGCTTGAATTGATCTGGTCAAAATTACTTTTTCAAGTCATATCCAATCATGTAAATGCTTTACTCAGACCAGCATTTTAAAATTCTTTCTTGAAGTTCCACTAAATATAGACATGGGTAATATCTTTAGAAATATATCATCTTGTCGAACTGTTTAAAACATGGAGGAAAGTGTCCAAGTTTATTTTGAATAACAGAATCAGGCTCTAAATATATATGAAATTGGCAAAGGGGTGTCCAGCTTTAAATATTTAAATGACTTTGAAGAATTCATCTTTTGGAGAATGCATGAAGCAAGGGGAATAAATGTATGGTTTGCCAGCAGCCACCTTCTCCAATAAACAGCATTCAGCTAAACCCACACCCCTGAGACCTCCACACATAGATGCACGCATACATGCACTGAAGAACGTGCTGCCCAGCGACTGACAGCTTTAAACAAGGTTAGGTCCTTCAAGGCTAGCACTAGATCCCTGCAGGAGAGCCTCTGCTCATGAAAATGTAAATGCTGGTCCAATGTAGTGATTATGATCCAACGTAATTTGTACAGCCATGACTAGAATAAACAGCGATTGATAGGCAGGTTACCAGTGGAATCGCCATCTTTTCATTCTTTAATTAAGGTGTCAGGGAAATGCAATCAGGATGACTGAAGGCCAGCTGGTTTTATGTTAATAGATTCAAGCAGTGAAGAGGAAACTGAAATGAAAAGTAACTACCAAAAGGATTAAAACTTGGACCTTTAAGTGATTACATGTCATATTTGATTTTCACCTGGCATTTTATCAATGTATGCATTGCCAACAATGGAGCCCCAACACTGACAAAATATAGTAAAAAGTTAAATTAAAAAGTAAAAGGTTAAATATAGCTGAATGTATTAATAAATTTAACTCCACACCCAAGAGTAAAAATTAAAAACTGTGTAGTAGACTACAGTACATTAGGTAAGCATTGTTCTTGGCTCCGCACAGCTCTCTGATCATTTTACGGTGTAGTTATGTTCAGGAGTCCTGGCCTGTAACAGTCATATACCTTCAGGGTTTGAGTTACGTGGGAGCCAGCGGGAACCCAGCTCCCATAAAGAGGGTTTGAGTTCCAATGGAAGCAGTAAAATCATGCATCTGTGGAGGTCACTAATTTATTTATCAACAACCATTATTTTGAATCATAAATAATGTATTTTTCATTGTAATTACTACTATTATTTAGGCTACATTAAAAAGATAAACAAACTTAAATTAACATGTTTTCCTAATGAACCACGCTGCGCATCGCATGACATGACTGGATGGCTGCACTTCTCCTCCATCAGCCATTATGGTACAGTTTTGATGGAACAGATTGAGACTGCGAATGCAATGAATTCAGTTGTATTCAGTGCTTGAAGTGGGCCGGTACGCACCCGTAGGCAGTACTCTAGCATCTCGACATTTTACTCTTTTCTTGCAATATGGCATTTCTCCCAAGCTGCCTGTACTCTCCTCTGCCCTCTCCAAATCAGGTTCTCTGGGCGCTACTTGACGATCACCTGTTCCTGTTCTCACCGGCTGCCTGCTCTGACGGCGGAGAGAGAGCAGGGAGAAGAGAAGCTCAGATGCCTTTCAAGCAGCCGTGTGCCGAAAGTAGCTTGTTAATGTCAGTTTTCGTGAACCGACCAATCAATTGAAATACAGAAGAAACAAATGTGCATTGTCCAAAAAAGTAACTTCAGCTAAAACAACAAGCTGCTGATTAATGCATTATATTCTGTTATATTTTTATATTTTGAATTGTCACCTGCCATCTTAATTTTGTTACCCTTCATATAAATAAAGACATTTCCAACATAAATCGGTGCATAAAATGTCTCCAGAATGCAGGAAATTAAGTGTTTAATGCTCAAAGTTTTCTGGGGGAGGACCCCCAGACCACCCCACTGATATTTTTCAGCATTGAATATTTATTCATAATGTTGTTAAAATATCTTTTTGTCTTGTTCTCATGCCCCAAATGTGTCGTCACAATCGGAGCCCCTATTTATTTATTTATTTATTTATCTCCATCGCTAATGTTAGTTAGTAGGCTATATTAAAGACCCCCACGAAGCTCAGATTATAACTCGAACCCTGTATACCTTTATTAAGCTAAAGCCTCTCCCTTTGTTCTACTATATTTTATACAATGCCACTGAACCACCCCTAGTGGGAGTAGAACTTTTTTCTTAAAACCAGGCAACAGCCCTGGAAGAAAAACATTGCTTTACAAGTTCTTTTTTACCAACTGATTGGAATTGGTTGGTTAAATGAAGTTTAAAACTTAATAATTTTCTTTACACGCCACTTTAAATAATAAACTGACAATATTATTTAGATGATATATATCTTTATTCAGATATATTTTTGTCTTGTCTAATAACCTTTCACAACATTTTGTCAGTTTTGGGGCTCCATAGTACTACTGGGAATGATAATAAAAGAGTGATTCCCAAAAGAACTGTGTCCATAGATTTAAATTCTTAGCATGTGGTTGTTTGACATGCTGGTGTTCTTAGTTTCACCCTGACTGACATGGTTCCATGCTGAATTCCTCACACAGCTCATCCCACACAACACTGCCCATCCCTCTCAGTTGCTGCCAGCCTTGCCATGCAAAACAGAAGAGAAATGTTCAGCCACTGACAGACAGACACAACTAGAACAGGAAGAGAATACTTTCTAGGGGTTTGTGGCCAGTGGCTTTCAGACTCTGAAAAACATAGAAAAAGTAACCCTGTATTGAGTTGCTCTTGTGTCAGAACATCCTTTCCCACTGCCCTTGGAGGTGAAATGAGAAATTACCTTCATGCCTCATTGGGAATCAAAAGGGAGGAAAAATGGCAATGAAAAAATGCAGAATCTATGTCAAGCATGTGAAGCCGATGTTCAATTTTGTGATTTGATGTTGTAGAATATTACTGTGTGTCCATAAGAATTAAAAGAATGTTTCATTTCTTTATCAAGTAGCAATTCTGAGTGCCTGACTGAAAAGATTTTCTTCTCTCTCCTTCCACTCTACCTCAGCAGTTTTGCTGTTTTGTTTTCCATAAAGATTATATTGTAAAGGAGATTGCAATTTATTTCGAAAACCTTGAGTTATATCATGATCAAGTGTAGGATTCATTCTAAATGACAGTGCAGGTGCTCGCCTTCATCTTTCTTCCCCAGAAATAATATTTCACATGTTTGTGAGTGCCAGGACAAGTAGGACATGAGGTAGTGGCAGATGGCTCTATTTACAGCAGTTAATGGGTATGGAGACTTTTATCACGAAATGTACCTTGTTTAAAGAGTTTTCTCTTTTTGAGCACTGGTCAGATAGCAAACAGATCAGTTCATACATGGAAAATTACATATTATTATTAAGATAACGTATGGGAAAATAGTTCCCAGATCTTCAAAATGACTCAAATCTGCAGTATATTTTCTTGAGGTAGACCACTGCACATTTCAAGCTTACACTGTAATTACCATACTACAATGTGTTTCATCAAACTTATTGTGACAGACAACATACAGCCACACACACATATTCAGTTATTGTTGTTGAAACATGAATCTGATGATTAATCAAATGTATGTTTTATGCAAATGTAATCTGTAATGCATACATAAATTTGCATCTGACTGTCTCTAATCTTGAGCTATGGCCAGGACTTATCCCTTGATATTTGAATACAGAAATCCAGACAAAGTTATTTTGCAGCAGGTAATTTGACACAAAGCAGAATATAGATATAGAATTGTTTAGGTTAATACAGGTATTTGTTGTACAGTGCATCATTGCCTGGGTCTAAAGTATTACACAATTTAAGTCAAACTGATATTATACATACATTTCTAATCTGAATTAATATATTTTTTGGCTACTTGGGGGCAGTGAAACAACTGTAAACATTGACATTTTACCACCTCACAAAGTTGCCTATTTACACATCCAGCAGATAACAACATTAACATTAAATTGAACCAACTCCTGAGGGAAATATCTGGCTCCTTTCCTGCTAAATGCTCCACTATGTTCACTAGCTATCAGAGCTGTTTTTAAAAAGCAAGTTTTTGGAGTCTATCAATGCTTAGTATGACATTACACTATAGCACTATGGCAAAAATAACACCCCTAAACAGGGCATTTAATGTCCAGTTGCAAGTAATGAATCAAAATATTACTATTTTTGTGTCAAATAGTTTAATGAGAACACTGAAAACAAAGGTGTTGCTTGGTCACATTAAAAAACAGGATCAGTGTGGATAATGAATATGACTAAATTTGGCAGCG